ACCCCAATTAGTAAAGTCCAATCCCTGCTCTGCATCTGAAAGGTTCTTTAGCCTACTCTGGGTGTGGTGGTGCACTCCTTATGGAGAAGTTCTTTAGCTCCTTCCCCACAACCTAACAGCTAGTTCTCTGAATTAGAAAGGAAGATGAGATTTACTCTAGATGGGATTACCACCAAGGGATACACCTTGCCCAGGGTATGACTAATCCCTTATAGATTTGTTAACTGCTTCTCATTGTCTGTAACCTGGCAACTAATCCATGAAGTGTCATGAAACATACATGTGTAATGTCTCCTTGTACTATAAATAAAGACGTCCAGTTCATCTGGGCGGCACAACTTGCTTGGGCTACCTAGGCTCAGGCTGCCTGTGTCCGTTTTCACTCTATCTTTTTGTCTCATCTTTTCTGCTTCTTCCATAATAGCGCTAAGCCTGGGGGCGGACGCCGACAAACATCCCTTGTCATAAGTGAAATGCAAATTAAAACCGCAATGATACTCCACCTAACACGAGTCAGAATAGCTAAGATCAAAAAAATGAAAAATTATAAGTGCTGGTGAGACTGCAGTGAAAAGGGAACTCTCCTACACTATTTGTGGGATTTTCACTTAGTACAACCATTATGGAGAATAATATGGAGGTTCCTTAAAACCCACAAACAGAACTACCATACTATCCACCAATTCCATTCCTGAGTATCTATACAAAGAATGGGGATACACTCAGTTGGAAAAACACTTACACAACCATTTATTGCAGCATTATTCACAATTCCTAAGACATGGAAGCAACCAAATATCCAAGAACAGCTTAATAGATTGAAAAAGTGTGGCACATGTATACTATGGCATACTACTTAGTCATAGAAAACAATGAGACTCTGGAATTTGACAGAAAGTGGATGAATATGCAAGATTTAATGCTAAGTGAGGCAAGCTAGATAATGAAAGAGAACAATGTATGTCTTCACTTAATACATAATGAATGTCTGCATTCTATGGCAAAAACTGGCAGATTGTAAGATATAAAAACATGGAGAGCAACTATGGATAGTAGAGACAGTGTGGGAAGAGAGTGGGCAATGAGGAGCAAGAGGGAGCAAATCAATGGGGAAAAAAAGCAAAACATTTAACAGACTCAAAAATGGAAGATTATCTGTTGATGATAATGTTTATGGTAATGTCTTTGGACTGATATGCAGTGTATTCATTCTGGGAAGATTAATTTCGATGCTGTGGAGAGGTACAGGGATTAATTATAAAAAATAACAAAATAAATAAAAATAAAAATAGGTGGAACTCTAAGAGGACACAACTTTGCTATGTATGCATCTTTCTCATTTTCATGTTCTCTGGGTTTCACTCTCACCCATGCACAGTGTCTACTTCATTATATAATAAGCAAGTCCCATGTACTGAGTCTCAGGTAAAGTGGATCACCTGTGTTCCACATTGTGTGTAGTGGTGGAACATCATTTTCTAGTGCAGAAGAAATATAACAAATGTTAACATTTTCACTCATGAAGATTGGAGTTTTTCAGTCACTTGCTGGAGTTGATAAAAACTGCCTGGTATGGTGCTAATCATTATGGAATGCAAGAAGATAGAAAGGTGAGCATCACATTGAGTCCTACTGAAGATGACTTACCATATAACTAAAAACCACTTTAGGATCTGGCAAGGTGGTCTAGTGGTTAAGAGAGAGGATCCCACATGGCTGATCGAAGTTCAAATCCTAACGCTGGTGGCTTAAAAACCACACAAGGTGTGCGTGTGTGTGTGTGCATGCCCAAAGTTCCAACTGAATGGAGAAATAAAGAAGCAGAGATTGCCATGCGACCAATGCCCCATTGAAGGGTACTTACTTCTTCCTCTCTTTCTGTCTCTCTTTGGCAAGTGCATGTACCTTCTGGTAAGGATTTTAAAAATCCACTTTAGTAATGACATTACCTTAGTACAATCCAGAATATTACCATTCTAAAAATTAAATTTTCAGAATTTTTACATTTAACAAGTTGTTCTTGATGAAAACATAAAAAAATACATAACAATGTAATTAATTAAGGAAAAAATACTAGAGGAACATTTAAAAATATTTTTGCCAGAGAGAGACAGAAAGAGAAGAAGGAAGTGAGAAAACACCTTCCATGGGGCATGGTCACACTGCACTCCCTTCTCTCTCATGATTCTCTCTTTTCACAATTTCTGGCATGCACTCACATACACCCATCAGATCCAAGACCTAAAGTGTGCATTCAGCCGTGTGGATTCCAGCACCTTAACCACCATGCCACTGGCTGGCCCCAGTACAGAGGCATTTTTAATTTTTCACAAATGATGGATCTGTCTCTTATATTCTTTGAAATATCTAAAAAATAAAATCTCTAAAAATAAATAAAAGCAATATATACTTATTAACCTGTTCTAAGGACCAAGGTTATTCTTATGAGTTAGCTACAATTTTTTTTTTATTTAGTGGAAAACTCCTTTTTAGTTTTCACATTAACTTCGCTAATAGAAAATGCCTTTAAGATACTGTCATGCAAAAACTTAAACCCTTACTCAATTCATTCTTATTATTTCCTCTTATACTTAATCCAATGTTTAAACAAAAACAACCAACCATCTAAGAAGCACCTAATGAGCTCAAGTCTTCTTCTAGATGACAAAAGTAGTATGAAGGTAAATGAGTTACAGTCATTATCCTCATGTAGTTTATAATCTTCATGACAAGACAAGGCATACATAGATGGAAAGCTACATAAAATGAAAATAATATAATATAAAAATATTATAGAAGTATAAAATTTAATAAAATGATTGTACACCATCAACTCTGAAACTGGAGAGATTATTATAAACTTTTCATAGATGCAATGATATGAAGAAAGATGTGAGGTTTTCAAAGACATAGAAGACCAACACGAACAAAAGCATTGCAAGAGCTCACAATGTATATCCAAGACACAGTTTGGATAAACTGGGTCGAATGAATAGTGGAAATGGTAGGAGGCAAGTTTGGGAGTTATATCTGGCTTGGAAGTAGATTATAGAAATGTTTACCTAAGGGTTATGGACTCTAGCCTATGGAAAACAGTGAACAAGTAATGTTCATTAAACAGGGGAGTGGCATGTTCAAGGAGGTATGCATGATATTTGTGGGGCTAGATACATGGGAAGGGTGATAAGAAAGGCAGAGCTTTTCAACATTGCCAGAGAGAGGTAATTAAGGTCTATACTAAGATGGTATACCAGATATACTAAGTGATACCTGAAAAGATGCTAGAAACACTGGGATTAGGAGAAAGATACAGAAAATTTAAAAATGATTCTCAGATATCAGTATGTACCTTGGGAATCAATCAATATAGATTAGTATTTCAAGCATACATATGGGGGAAATTACAAAAAAAAGACTATAGGACCATGGGAAAAATATTGGGGAAGGTTGGGAGGCAGGAAAATAATGGACAAGTAAATATTGTCATCTTTGTTCCTTTCCATGCACATGCAAATGTGCATACTAACATGTATATGGAAACATACATAGACAAACATGGGCCTGAAGAAAAGAGAGGAAGGGGATCAGCAGGTGGTGTAGTGGTTAAAGTGCTAGCTGGACTCCCACATAGTTTTAGGTGGTTTGAGTCCTGGACTCAGTGACTTGAATCTCTGGCCAGGTGGGTGTGCATGCATGCCCAAAACCTCAAGAGGGGAGAATGGAGACGGGATTGTGGCTTAGCCAACCCTCTGGGGGATGATTTCTTGCTTTCTCTCTCTCTGTCTCTGTGTCCCCAGTGAGCACATGTACCCTATAGCAAAAATCTCTCTTAAAAAAAAGAAAGAAAAGAGATGAACAACCAAAACTCAGTTATTTCCATTTGTCTCCTGTCAGCTTAGTGACCTTGCTAAACTACTGATAATCTGAATAAATTGTTATTGAGAAATAGCATGATCTAACAGAGTGAGAATAAAATCAAACAGATTTAGGTTCTTCTCCCAGCTCTGCTGTTTGCCAGCTGTCTGATCTTTATCTGTAAGATAAGGATATAAGTACATGTTCTTTTTCAACACAGGGCTATTATAAAGTTGAAATGAAATAATACATGTCAAAAGATTTTATATACTGTCAAGTACTGAAAATATAAGCTTATCTTATTACTATCATATGTGTTTAAATGTGTTTAACATGTTCTGATTTGTTATAACCAGTTCAATCCTCTCCTCTCAAGGATACTGACATAAACATATATGCATATATGCAAATGAGTTCTAGCACTACTATTTTCACTCAATTAAATTTTAAGCTCTTTGAGGGGAGAAATCATCTTCGGTTTCTATGTATTCTCCTTACACCTTACCATGTATACATTCTAAATATTAACAGGAAAGGTACATGTTTTGACTTGAACCTGGATTTATTCTGAATGCTCAAATATAGCTTTCAATATGTAGCATAACTTAAAAGTAGTATTTGAGCTTATGGTGGCTAGTACTTCTTGAAAATAACTTACATATGCAGTGAGAATGTTGTTCCTAATGGCCTCATATACCTTTTTAAGTGTATTTTTCCCCCATAAATCTGGGAATGAGTAACAAGACATAATGAGTAACAAGGCATAATGAGTAACAAGGTTGAAAGGCATAGATTCAGAGTTATTAGTGATGTCTGTAGGTCTAAGTAGAAGTACAGTGACTAGCTATAGAATTGAAACACATTAAAAAGGCTTTAACTGACTTTTACAGATTTTTTAAGGATCATATTTTTCTCAGAACACTAAAGCAATATAATTATAATACCATTAGGGCACAATTCTAAAACTACACCTAAAATATAAGTAAGAATGCCTTTTTTAAAAATTCAGATTCTAGAAAGTCAAAACAGAGGCATTGGGGAAAAATTTTGAATTTAATAAAATACTTGGCACTACTGTTTTGAGCCTCCATATAACTTCCTGTAAGAAATGGAACATTCTAAATACAAAACTTTAAAGTACTTACTTCCACTTGGAATCAGGTCCCTTTCTGGGATGAAGAGTTTATATCCATAGTGTTTTTCCAGGACATCTGGCAGTATTTCAAGAGCAAACTGCTCTTCTTCTGGATTGTCACAGTCTAAAGCATCTTGATCCACTTTCGTGTAAGAAAGATAGGCATCATATTCCTTGTTATCTTAAATAAAATAAATGACAAAAGGTTGCAAGTATTAGAAAGTCCTCTCTGAAGTACTGAAAGTTTGTAACCACTAACAGGCTGCAATAATTAGTGGCTGTCTTAAATAACAGGAAAAAAAAGTCACATGCCATCTTATCAAAAATTCATTCCATTTTAACATAACCTCTTTCAGTCATATGATATGAACTGAAACTCTTATGCAATGGGCCACCTATATTCAGGACAGAATAAAAGAATTATTATTTGTTACTTTCAGTGACTATACACATTTGTGATGTTCAATGATGTGTGAAAGATTAGCTCAGTGTGTTTGAATGCAGGACTAAAAAGACCAAAGTCATGGATTTGAACCCTTTATATGCCAGTTGGTTTGGCTCTGTTACTTGGTCACAGACTATACCTTGTTTGCACAAATATGTGCAAGAGATCCAACAGGGACTGGGCCTTAGAGTATGGAAGATTGAAATAATCCAGTCTCACTCCTGGAGACACTACTCATAGCACATGCCATACTTCCAGTTGGTTAGTGTTGTCATCTTCATATACAAAAAGCAGTTCATTACCAAATATTAGAGACAGCAGCTGGGTTTTGTACAATTGCATTGCCTGTTATTCTTGTTCAGTCCATGGCCAACTAATTTGACACAAGCTTCCAAAGAAGCCTTTGTTTCGAAATATACATCATTCCAGTATTGCCAAATTAGGTTTTCCCTTCACACATTTAGTCAGGGAGTTAACTGTACTTTGAGGGTGTGTTTTTTTCCCCTCCTTTGCTGTATTGGCTCAGAGCCAGTCTCTTCTAAGAGGAAATGTGTATGTGTGCATGCATTTTTTTTTCTCCTGCAAAATGTTAATGAACACAACGACTCAAGGTATTAGCCCCTGTGGGTGTTATAAGGGCCATATTGGAAAAATTACTGTGGTATTTTCAAAAGTCCCTTATTTATAGAAACATTATTTTTAAAAGTTAAGGTAATGAGCATAGACTTTCGTGGAACTAGTAGTACTTATTAAACTCAGTTGCTCACAAATAATTTTGTAAGACTGTTAAATATTTCAGGATATGTTTCTAAAACACATAAATATTTTCTGTTAAAACAAATCTGATTAGAACATTGCTGAAACCAGGACCAGCTGGTGGCACGGCAGTTGGGATGATGGACTCCTACATGGCCGACCACAATTCAAGTCCTGGACCACTGGTGGCTTGCTTTCTCATTCTCTCTCTCTCTCGGGTTAGTGTCTTATCAAATTAAATAATAATAACAATGTGATAAATAAAATTAAACAAATAATTCTAAAAAAGAACATAGCTAAAACCTGACCAAAAGGTAATTTGTGGAATAAAGCAGCAATTCCCTTACTTAAGCATGAATGATTTTGTTCCACCTGCTAAAGGAGGAATAAACTACAGACATACAATGAGATATAGATACCATATTCTTGAAGTAGTGAGGACCCTCTGACCATCTAGAGATGTCTAAGGTTGGATTATTTTGTTCTAATTCTATTAATATTCTAGCTCTTAGAACCAGCAGATGGTTACATCACTGGCCTCCCACACGGTTGAACACGGTTCGAGTCCCAAACCCAGAGGCTTGAGACTCACGCCAGGCACATGTTTCATGTATTCCAAAATCCTGAGAAGAGAATGGAGGAGAAAAGATTGTGGTTTGGCTATCTTCCCGGAGGGACGCGTGATTTATCACTTTCTGTCTCTGGCAAGTACATACACCCATACACCCTATAGCAAAAATCTCTCCCTCTCAAAAAAAAAAAAAAAAAAAAAGATTCCTAGTTTTCACTACCTCAACAACAAGGAAAAAAAACCCACTCTGGTTACTTATGCTGAGATGGTTCCTGAGGCCAGGAGAAAGGGTTAACACTCTTTAGCTTGTCCTCTGGCTGCAAAAGGCTTCTATAAACCTTTTTTGGGTTACATGATTGCCTAGAAGCAGATGCACATGAAGGACTGCCCTGGATAGTTGAGGAGATCATTTGGCTTACAAATTGGGCACATTCCACTGTTATGCATAAAACTCCACTTGGAAGTGAGAATGTTCATAAGCAATGCTAATATAAGAACCTCCTGGTAATCCTAGTATCTGCCTGTTCCAATCAAGAGCAGGATGCACCTGTAAGCCCTTGACTTTCTCCAGCTATAATTACTCACCTGGGACTCAGAGCTGCCGATGATACACAGCTGGAAGAATAAAATAGGCCAAAGGACAAACAGCTCCATTCCTATGAGCAGAATATATTTCATTGTTCTTGGTAGATAGCGTTGCTTCCTCAAACTCCATAATGTCCTTGTTTGCTCTGACTTTGATAACTTTCCCATCTCACAAACCTCCCTAAATTCTACCAATTAATTCACTCAACAGTGATTTGTGGAGTATCTAATGTGCACTAGTCATTTTTAATGGCTAACTGACCCCTTCAGCCATCTGACCAGACCCTCTCAACTCCTGTCCCATTGTTTGTCCTGATGATGGCTATTCACCCTCCAACCATGCCTAAACTTACATATTCCAGATCTTCTGTGTTCTACCTATATCCCAATATTACAGTTCAATGCTAGAAAGATTTCTCCCTGTAAGACTATTTCTATATTTGTATATGCCACTCAAGTTATGACAAAGAACATAGACGTCTTTGATATGTGCTAACACCCAACACATCTGGATAATACGTTTTACATAGCATTCTAAAAGCACATCATTCGTTGGAAAATGTTGTTTCTGGTTTAAGTCATGCCACTTTAAGATGGACTAAAGGTAAAGAGCTTATGGTGACTGGCCAGAGCAGGAAGACAGCTCTCAAACTTACCATGTCAGATGTCCCAGGAGTTCAAGGATGCCAGCTAGTGAGCCAGCAATGACGCAGATGCCACAGCTTAAAAAATACACTTCAGCCTTATGTAGACAGCCAAGAAAACCTTATGAATAGCCACAGCTGTTGCTCACAAAGAGGAGCAATATGGATAAAGCAAAAGCAACAACATGATGCAAAAATGAGGTTTACAGCAAGGCCTTCAAATTGTTTTAAAATGAAAAGGCAGTAAAGCAACATTACTTTTATATACAAGGCTAATGAGCCTTCCTCTGTGCTAAATCATGCTGAATAAGCTCATCTGAGGAACCAGAAAAGAGAGCAAAATGAAGAAAGAGCATTACAAAGAAGAGAGCTGGCATTGGGGTTATCATAGGTAAACTATTTCAAATGAAGAGAGAAATTATGAAGAAAGAAATCAAAGGTTTTGTAGAAGAAGTTTCCCGTTGTCATACTACTCCCTGTTTCTAAAGCTGATCTTAATCCTGTTCGCCATTAGGAAGCATTCCTGTTTACAGCCTAATTCTTCTGCAGCTAAGCTAAACACAGTCCTAAACTCTTAGCTTCTTTTTTTCTTTTAATTAAATTAATTAATTCGATCAATTCTTTTCTGGCCAGAGGGTGCATGTGCTTGCCAGAAAGACACACACAGAGAGAGAGAGAGAGAGAGAGCATCCCCCAAGAGGGTGTGATTGTCCCTCAATTCCTTCTCCTTCATTTGTCCATTCTATCCAAATTTGGAGCATGCATGCATCTGCACCTGGCACATTTTTCAAGCCCAAGACTTGGGGGCTAGGATTCAAACCACATAGCCGGCCATGTGGAATTTGACTCCCACTAGACCACTGGGCAACTCTTAACCCTTAGCTTCTAAATACAATGACTTCTGTAACCTTATTGGTGACTATAATATCCGGTTCTTACTCTAGTATGTGTGTGTGTATGTGTGTGCACATGCATATGTATGTGAGTGACATTGATATAGATGAAGAATATAGGGAACAGCAGTTAGCATAATGGCTATGTCACTGGACTCTCACGTAGTTGACCACAGTTCGAGTCCTAGACCCAGTGGCTTAAACTCAACGCCAGGCGCATGTGCATGCATGCCCAAGATCCCGAGAGGAGAATGAAGGAGAAGGGATTGCAGCATGGCCATCCTCCCTGGGGGGTGATTTTCGCTTTCTATCTCTGTCTCTCTGTGTCTTTCTCGCAAACGCACATGCTCTATAGTGAAAAAGCTCTCAAAGAAAAAAAAAGAATATAAGTAAAGGCATCATGCATGGTGACTGACATATAGAAGACATTTAAATATTTAATTACTGAAGAACTGAAAGCTCATAAAAATTAAGCAATCATTATTTAATGGGTTGAATTAAAATAAATTTTTAAATGGTTAAGAAGAAAAAGTATATGAGTGGATTTTATCTGATAAAAAAGTAAGCACTTTTTTTTTTTGGCTAGTCTGTGTGTGGTGGTTAAGGAAGCTGGTTGATCATGCAGTTTGAGTCCCAGACCGGGCAGCTTGAGAAACACATCAGGTGCATGTTTGTGCATGAACAACATCCCAAAAGGGTGGAGAAATGGAGGAGAAGGGGTTGTAGTGTGACTATTCCCCATGGGAGCATGGCAGATTCTCTTTCTCTCTCTCTTTTGCTAGTGAGCATACATGCCCTATGGCAAAAAATTTCAAAATTAAGCATTTTAGAGCCAGCATGTGACACATTGGTTAAGGCACTGGATTCCCACATGGACAACCATGGTTCAAGTCCCAGGCCTAGTGGCCTGAAAATCATGCCAGGCACATGAGCATGAGTGCCCAAAACCCAAGGAGGAGAATAGAGGAGAAGGGGTTGCAGCATGTCCATCCCTCCCACCCCAGAAAGTGATTTCTCACTTTTCCTCTCACTGTCTCTTTATCTCTCCAGCAAGAAGACACAACATATGACAAAAACCTTTAAAGTAATAAGATATTTTTGTAAGAACTTTTAGAAAATGTGACTATAGATATGGTCAAAGAGAATACATGAGGAAAACATATATGGGTAATACTGAGTTGTATCTAAGAGATGTTAAAATATTTAAATGAAGAAGTGAAAAATTTGGTAGAGTATCTGATTGATATTTGGGATCGTGCAACTGGATATTTCTAAAAGAATGTTAAA